TAACACCAAATAAGAGAGAGAGAAGAAAAGGGAATGCCCTACCACAGAAGCAGGGTGGGATGTGAGGGATGGGGGGTGGGAGGGATACTGGGATCCGTGGTGGTGGGAAATGGGCACTGGTGGAGGGATGGGTATTTGATCATTGTATAATTGAAACCCAGGCACAGAAATTTGTAAGTCTAGAACTGTACCTCACGATGTCTCACTAATAGAAAATAAATAAATAAATAAATAAATAATGTGCATCAGGGGAGTATGGTGCCGCCAGCAGGTCAATCTGTACCTGTGAGGCAAGTACATCAGCAGCCTGATGGTGCCTTCAGACTTCTAGACACCCCAAAATTGCTGATGTACCTTTGGCCAGACCCCAACAATTTGGGGCCAAGTTTACCAAGAAAGTAAAAGGCCCTCCCGTTGATCGTCGATTTGCTCGAGCGGGCCCAGTAACGTCTCCATTGGAGACTTTGTTGTTACTGTGTCTGGCATATCAAATACTCTCGGTAGCTTGCTAGGCTCTCCGAGAGGGGCGGAGGAATCGAACTCGGGTCGGCCATGTTGGCCACGTGTAAGGCGAACGCCCTACCCGCTGTGCTATCGCTCCAGCCCAAGAAAGTAAACAGCCAAAAATTAGGTACGTGGGAGACACAAAGTACCTCCGGCTCAGCAATATAATTGGAGGCAAGACCTCTCTGGTTCCTGATCAAACTGCTTAATGGCCATGATCCCAGAGACTCAGAAACAAATCTCAGAACCCAGCAGCTTTTGGCAGAAATGCATCTGGTCCCCACAGTAGGTTACCGGTGCCGGTCACCCCAGGTGAGAATAGGTTTCGTGCCTTGGCCTGTTCCCCCTGGTGGCTTCATGGCCACCATTCTCCAGAGGCCAGTGGACAGTCAGGTTTGGGCCCGCAGTGATGAGACACATTGGGCCACACAGGATGGGGGTGGAGCCGGCCCTTTTCTCCCCGCCCCAATGAGACCCTGAGTCACCTCCCACAAACAGCCTCTCTGGCTCCTGATCAAGCTGCTTAATAGCCATGATCCCAGAGACTCAGGAACAAATCTTGGAATAGAGCAGGTTTGGGCAGAAATCCCTCCAGATTTAATTGTTAAAATTGTGGAATTCCAAAATCATCATGTTATTCATAACCAGCAATAGAAAACAAATTGTCTATAGTTGTCTTTCCAGCAGATATTAGTGTTGGGGTAAAATCCCAAACAATAATGGTGGGTCTGGGGTCAAAATATTGAATGAAACCAAAGAAAAAGAGTAATGTGGAAATCATTTGCCCCACAGGTAGTGGGAGAGTGTAGGACAGAGGGTATACTGGGTTTTTTGGTGTTGGAAATTGGGCACTGGTGAAGAGACAGGTGTTTCATCATTGTATGACCGAGACTAAAACCCAAAAACTTTGTAACTGCTCTCACGGTGATTCAAAAAATAAATTTATAAAAAAGAAAGAAAAAAGTGTGCATCACTTTGAGGTCATGGGTGGAAGCTACATGGGTTTTCTCACTTTCAGAAAACCCATCTACCTAACTACACCTTCATGGAATAGACAATGAGTTGCAAATTTAGATTTAACCAGATGCTTCAAAGCCAGCAATAATTCATAGCCTCCACTGTTTGTTCCCATCTTTTCTATCATGACACAATGCCTCACAGAGCAGTACACTCTCTAGCACACAGAAAATGAAACCCAGTGTTTTCTCCTTTGGCTGAAGACTGTCAAGACTTCTGTCACCCAGCTGTATGTCCTGAAATTCCCTCTGTGTGTACAGTGGAAGTGGAAGATAAAACATTCACTTCTCTGTATAATCCCTCCCTGGAAATATTCCTAATTAACCTGTCCTCAGTTCTGAGGAAATAGAGTCTCCAGGTTGTGTAAATAAACATGCATATGTGAATGTGGAGTTACCTTTTGATTCTGGGAGCTCTGTGAAGATTTTAGAAGACTCTAAACTAATCCTAAAGAGTCATAATTTTTTAATAAAAAAGGGCTATAAGTTTGCATGGCAGAGTGTACACATGTGGGTCTTTGAGGTGAATGAAGTGTGTGTAAGGGGAAAGGATGCAGAGAATCCCGGGAGTTCTGAGTAAAGCCATGGCCACACTTGGTCGAGGGATGAATGAGAAACATTCAAAATGGTCTCCCCATGTAGTAGAAATGACTCTCAGGAAAGGTGCTATAGAATTCACTGGCTGTAGGTGGCCAATCATCTTGTTGTAGATGAGCAACCAAACTCTCTGCCTTTCTTCTGGATTTGAACACATTCCATCTGATTATCAGCCAATGGAAAAACCAGTCCAAGAGAATTTGACTTTCTCTCTGTGTTCCCGTCACTTAGGTATAGTACTTTGGGCATTTTGTTTGCCCCCAGATCCACTTTCGATTTTTACTACCTGGGGCTGTGGTCCAGGGGCCAACCTCTTATAAACTGTATTCCTATGATCCTGCCCCACAGGATCTTGACTGCTAGTGGGAGGTGTGAATAAGATAAAGAACTAGCCACTCCCTTCCTGCTTGGTAGGGGTAAAACCATGCAGCTTCTTCCTCTCCTTGGAGAGGTCTAGTATCAGGTCCTACACTGTTGTTAACCTGGGTTATGCCACCACTCTTGTCATTCCCTTCAACCCGGATCACGTGTCTGTCCCTGCCCTTGCCCCTGCATCCAGTTCTCTACATCTGTCTTCCAGTACACAGCAAGTGCTTAGCATGATGAAGCCTTTCCCCACATAGCCTTTAATTTAGGGCCCTCTTCTGTGTCTCATCAACTGAAAGCAAAGAAGTTGTGAGGAATAAGAATAGGAATAAAATAAAATGAAATAAAATAAAGGGACCATCTCCCCAAGTGCTTTCTGGACTAACTTCTAACCCACAACAGGACTGTCTTGTTGTAAAGTTGCCACCTAGCCATACCCCCAGTCCAGCTACTACTACTCAGAACACCACTGCACACCATTCCTACCCCCAAACATCCCAAACATCCATGCCCATAAATCTCAAAATTTTCTAGTGAGCATTGCAGTCTCAGGATATCCAAGACTCCAGAGACATACACAGCCATGGTAATCACTTTGGGTTAAAGATTTCTGATGTGTGATACTTCAATTACAGACCACATGGGTTTTACACAGTAGGCATCAACACACCTAATCAGAGTCACCAATGGACTAGCCTAACCTCAGAAGTGAAAGGATCCTCAGTAACCTTATCTTTAGACTGTTAAATATAAACCATCCCAAAAAACTGGTTTTTTAATACCTAGCAATAACTCAGGACAGACAACCCACAGCCTTTTCCAACAACTTTTCAAATGACTGTCCCTAAGGATGTTACAAATACTATTGTTTTCTCTTTGCATCTGGCAAACATATAGCTAGTTTTATTTTCAATCAAGCAAACGTTAAGAGAAACAAAAACAAATGCACTCAGTAATCTTGGTTTTGCAGGGACTACTAAAAGCAGAGCTCATGTATCCAAAAGACCCCATAAAGTAGGAAATTAAGTGACACAACCATTAGAGCAGGCAAAATGTATTTGATTTAAATAATGGGATCAGGCAGGGAATTGGAAGTCAACATGAGAATGCAAGGGTTAGAGTTGACATTCTTTCCATGACTTTCATTAGGCTAGAAGACTGGGAAAAATTGCAAAGGCAGAAAGAAGAAACTTCTCAAGAGTCATAAAAAGATGGCTAAGACTGAGGTCATATTCACAGAATTGAGGTAGGACATCCCCGACAATTTTAAGGTAGCAACAGACCTTTCAGAGGAAGGCATCTTGATCACTTGAAACCCAGAGTCTTCTTTTCTTTTTTTTTAATTGAATCACCGTGAGATACAGTTACAAAGCTCTCATGTTTGACTTTCAGTCACACGATGATAGAACATCCATCCCTCCACCAGTGCACAGTATCCTCCCTCCCCTCCCAACCCTCCCCCTGCCTCTATGGCAGACAATTTCCCCCATACTCTCTCTCTCTCTACTTTAACCCAGAGGTTTCGAGCTGTGTAGAGAAGAGGTAAGGCATGTAGTTAAAGAAAGAATCTAGGAAGGATCATCAAAAGAGGTTTATGAAGATCCCTAAGAGAGAGGCACAACTCTAGGGAAACTGATGGGTCTTTAGATGTGTACAGAAAAATGAAGTTGATTTTTGTTTCCATATAAAACAGATCAAGGGAATTATGCTCATGTGAGCCGAGAACTTCCCAGAATCTGGGTTAAAGAAACCTATAGTAAAGAAACACCTCTTTAGTTTACCACTATAGGTTACTAGAGAAAATCAAAGGATGATCCAGAAACTAACTTGCTATAGTCAAATGCAATAATCACAGGAGGTGACCAAAGAAGAATGAGTATAACAGAGACTTGGAGAACAGGTTAGGAAGGTCAGAACAGCATGAGCAGTCATGACTCTTAGCTGGCTCTAGATTGCTTTGAAATTCACTTTCCCCTGTCCCCTCTCCCCTTCCCCACCTTTTCCCTCCCATCCCCCCTCTCTCCCCCACCTCACATCTGCCACATGTACCAGGTAAAGCATGAGGAACTCCTGAAAAATATTCACATTTAAGGCTTATTCTTTTATCATTAGGCTTTGAGCACCTGGTTATCATCAATAGATGAGCACGTACAGAGAACAGAATTATTCTCTGCACAACAGAATTATAATTAGAAATAAATATAATTTCGAAAAATATAATTACTGGGAAGGGAGGATGAGGATTAAATAACAAAACTGCATCTCAGAGCAAGACACTGAATCCTGACTTCTTTGTGCTTTGGTATGGTAGTTATTATCTTTCTCCTCTTTAATGTGAAATTTATGGGTTAGAGGGATGGGAGAAGAGCAGAGTTTCCTTGATCTGACCTCAGAACCCAGGAAGGAACAAAGGAGGCCCAAGGTTACTACTGTTTCATGGGCTTTTAGTGCCACCCAGTGAGGCCAAAGAAGAGGGAAGGGACCTCTTGGTGCTCTTTTTCTGCATACATGCCTCACCTGGGTTTGGGAAGGCCTGAAGGCTGAGTCAAAGCTGCTTTGCAGAGAATCAAGAAAGGGCTGGACCTTGTAGAGCCCATGTGTGGTCTGGCTGGAGCGGAAAGCCACAATGTGGAAGTATTTGAGAATCTTCTCAAAGCGGGCCTGGCTCATAACAAGGGCAAGACTCCTGTTACTGTAGAAGCCACTGCTCCAGATGCTGAGGACTGACTCGCAGTGGGATATGCTGGTGGAGATCATGTAGCCCAGAAACGCCTTCATCTCCATGAGCGTCACCTCCACCCAGGTGCTGTCGCTCCCAAACCGATCCTGGAACTTCTTGGCATACATGTTTGTCTGTACCACCATGTTCTTGAGGACGTTGTCAGGGACAAAAAGCTGGAAGAAGTCCATGGCACTGGCACTGGGGGGCATCTTTCTTGTTGGACCTAAAATAAAGATGGACATGTGCTTACTGTACTGTCACAGTCCTGATCCAGTATGGAACACTTCGCATTGTTGGACCCCTCCAAAATGCCAACCTTGGCAGAACTCAAACACTCCATCCCCAGACGCTGTCCTGGCCGCCCCCACATATACAATAGCTGTGCTCCCAATATCCTGTGTCCTAGCAACCACCTTTTCATTTGCACACACTATGTTCTTACAAAATATGGCATATTCAGAAAAACTGATGCATGAGGGAGAGGAGAAGACATGTGAGTTCATAATTCAAAGACTTGATCAAAGCTTTCTGGCTTCCCTGTTTTGTTAAGTCAAACTTATTTACATTTCTAAATAAAAATATTTTTTTAAAAATTGATTTTGCCTCTTGGGTCTAAAAAATTCCATCTAGGTATAAGTGACATTTTTTATGAGGCACTGCCTATGTCAGAACTGCTCCAAATTTATCCACTCACCCCCCCTTTTTACTGAAAAATGAGACATGGATGAGCATTGCCACTTCGGATTCGTTATATATTTAATTTGAGATGTTTGGTTGTTTCACACTGAGAAAACTTTAACTGAACTAGAGAGACAGCACAGGGATTACGGCATATGTCTTGCGTGCATCCCGACCCTCTTTAATGTTTAGCATCACATACTCCCCCAAGCATTGCATGACACAACTCTGAAGTCTTCCAAGAATGGCCATACCTGGTCCTAGATGCCCCAAAAACTGCTGGGGTGGCCTGGGTCATCCCTGAAACTGTCTGTATTGAACTGCCATCCTGGTTGACTGAGAATTACTCTGAAGGAGTAACAGCTTGGGAGACACCAACCTCCAGAAAAAAACAACAAAAACACAAACACCCCAAACCTGAAGCCTTTAACTGTTGCCACATTTTTCAAGATCCCCACCATCAGTTATGTGACACTATATAGGGTTATGACCCGTTATTTTAAGATGCTAGATTCTATGTGGTATCTTTAAATTTATTAGAGAGTAAATCTTGAGGGGGCAAGTTTAGATAATTTCATCAACACAATAAAAAAAGTCTCATGTTTTAAAATTTTTTCCTTCCTCCCCCTCCTTCACTGCTGTGATAACCAGGGGTAGCGCACATGCTTAGCTGTGATGCACACATTTAAGGGTTCTGTACTTGTATTACTGGTCATGGCCCTCACTGAGATTTGAATTCTTTTAGTTGCAGTGCTCTCAGAGATTGCACTTCCTGGCCACAGTGGTGCTTGAACATCTTTTGTTCTGGTGCTTACTGGGAATGGCAAGCCTTTTAATGTGCTTGCACATACTTGCTGTGGTGTGGCCAGAAATTGTTGTGGCACCAGCAATATCAGATACCAGCGGTACCAGGATGAAAGTATGTGCAGACATAACCATATATCTGCAAGGTGCTCTCAAGCCACTGCAGACCCCATAACTCATAACCCATATTTTAATATTTTATTTTATTTTACTGAAGCACCATGATTTACAAAGTTACTCATAGTTGAGTATGAGTAAATCATGGCAAATCCCCATGATTTTCAAAGTTGCACAATGTACCAGCACCAATCTCATCACCAGTGCCAACTTCCTCTACCAATGGTCCCAGGTTCCCTCCCCTAAACCCTCCTGTCCTGCCTGCTCTCTTGACAGCCATCTTTTGAAAGTTTCGTTGTAAAAATCTGGGTCTCATGATTTCAGTGTTGCTGACTCTATGGTTTGGATATTCAGCTCTATCATCACTTTACACCACTGAGGTACCTGAATCCCCTTGACCTCTGTTCCTGTTGCTTCTCATCTGTCTCTTCTCCCCACTTCCAATCAATTTCTTTCCTTTTCCTCCCTATATGCTGAGGCCAAGGGTAATCTAGGCATCCCCCCTTTAAACCACTGAAACAGAGAGGGGGGTGAGAGAGAGAGAGAGAGAGAGAGAGGTATCTTCTGTAGAGACAGACTGCGGGGTGGAGGGAGGGAAACTGGGTGGTGGGAAATGTATACGGGAGAAGGGACGGGTGTTGGAACATTGTATGACTGAACATTGTATCACGGTGAGTCATTAAAAAACAATTTTTTAAAAAAAAATGCATCCCATCATTCCGTTATTCTAACTATCACTTGTAAGTGATAATATCCTGTGTTTATCCTTCTTTTGGCTTACTTTAACATGGTATCTTTAAGTTACATCAATGTTGCAGCAAATTACATGACTCCATCACTCCTTACAGTTACATAGTATCCCATTATATATATATATATATATATATATAGTGGGATACTATTGTGTGTATATATATATATATATATACACACACACACCACATTTTCATGACCCACTTAGGCCATATATGTATGTCACTATCCTCCCGTTGTTCATCGATTTGCTCCAGCGGGCCCAGTAACGTCTCCATTGGAGACTTTGTTGTTACTGTGTTTGGCATATCAAATACATCACGGGTAGCTTGCCAGGCTCTGCCGTGTGGGCAAGATACTCTCGGTAGCTTGCCGGGCTCTCCGAGAGGGGCAGAGGAATCGAACTTGGGTTGGCCATGTTGGCTGCGTGCAAGGCAAACGCCCTACAGCGCGCGGTGCTATTGCTCCAGTCTATACCAAAAAAAAAAAATCCATAACACAGGGTAACAATAAGATGCAACGTACAGAATCCAGCACTGTTTGGGTGTGGACACGATATGTTGAGGCAAGTTGCCAGTGGGCTGCTGAGTGACCCAGTGACCCAGGCTTGTGGAAATCTGTTTGCAGCAGGCAACATTTCTGATGACTGATAACTAAGCACAAATGAATAGAACTGTACGCTATTGCATTTTTCAAAACTGCAAAGAAAAAAATGTCTTTTCCTACCTTAGGAACATTTCTGAATTGAAAGACATCACCAAAGGAGTGAAAAGATAGATATCACTATAATAGATATAGTATTAACATTCAAATGTCTTTTTTTAAAGAGAGCTGATTAAACTTTTCAAATAATTCACAACCCCAATGCATTCATCTAGTAAGCAGAGAGGCATTGCCCCAAATTCTTGAAAATCAGCTCATTTAAAAATAGGGGAAAAGACATGAACAACTGGCTGAAGAAGAAGTAGAGAGGGCCGGGTAAACACACCAACAAAGACATGAAAGAGTGGGGTTTATTACACAGTGTAGGGAAGAGATGATCATTTTCCAAACTCTTTTCTTTCTTTTTTTTGGGGGGGGCGGGGGGCGGGGGGCGGGAGTGAAGTCATGACCTCACACATGCAATGTATTTGCTCTACCACTAAGTTACCATCCCCAGACTTTTCTGCAAATTCTAGCAAAGTTGAATATACATGTACAATTCTGCTTTAAGGTATATTCTCCAAAGAACTGGAGAACATATAGATCAGAGGCATGTCTGGGAATCTTTGTAGATGATAGATACAGAGATCTGATAGATAAATGTTGACTCTGCTACATAATGGGGGGTGGTCTGTCTTATTTCTTTAAATATCAATTTCCTTACCTATAAAGTCAGGACCAATTTAACTGCAGGGTGAGGATTAAGTGAGAAAGTACACTTAGCACAGAGCAGCCCTTATTTTTACTACTCACACTTGCTCTTCCTGCTCCTAAAGGCCTCATACTCTATTACCTATCAACCTCAAAGAATCCCTGATTACTAAAGAATCTCAGAGGGGCAAGAAAATTCACTGATCTCCAGAATTACAACTTAATAGAAAGCAGCTTGTTTTTTCTCTCATTTTATACATGGTAGCATAATGACTTAAAAGATTTTCCCAAATATTCTCAAAAGATTCACCCCAAGATGATACAAAACAAAAGCAGGTGATTCGTGAGGGTTATCAGGGTGAATCTAGGGCTCTGTAACAGGAGTGGGGTTGTGTGGAAGGTTCTAGACACCAGGTCAGAGACCCATCACAGGGATCCTATCCTCAGCCACTTCTCTCGTACAGAGAAAAGTAACAGCTCAGAGGCTTAAAATCTTCAGATTCTTCCAGACTGTGGGATTCTCCGTGGCCTTCGGTGGTAAATGAAATCAAAAGAATCTTAGGGCACCAGAAGCAAGATTTCTGGAACGGTGTTTCTCCTGGAAGGGAGCAGGAGGCGTGGGGCAGGGGGGTGGGGGAGGAAGCTCACCTGCCCCACATATGGGTAGGCATTCTCAGAGTCAGTGCCCCGGTTCTCCTGGACGTACTGGAAAGCGATGGTCATGCAGCCCCCACCGCAGCCATCATTCTCAGAAACACAATCCACCAGGTTCTGGGGGCTCAGGTTTAAGAGTTGCCTGTTTTCTTCTTGAGTTGGCCCTCAAGGGCACCCACAGAGTTAAAAGCCCAGCAGGATTCACATTGACCCTGGTTCTTGTATATATGTGTATATATATGCAGGTATATCTATATTTATCTATCTATATATATATATATCTCCATTAGCCCCAGCTCTTCTAATCCCTCATTTAGGACTTTTGTGTCTTGACTTTAGTGTCTTGATTTCAGTCAAGTTGATCTATCCAATGGTGACAGTGAAGTGTTGAAGTCTCCCACTACTATTATGTTTCCACCCCTGTGTTTCTTTAGTTTTATGAGCAAAAGAGTCTTAAAAACTTTGCTGATCATACATTTGGTGCAACAATGTTTAGAATTAGTACTTCTTGGTCTATTGTTCCTTTGGCTAATAAGTAGTGCCTATCCCTATCTCTAATTACTCTCTTTAGAGTTTTAGAGTGAATGCACTTTGGTGTAATATAAGTATGGTATCCCAGCTTTTTTTCCTCCATTGGTTTGTATAATTGTTTTCATCATTCTACTATGAGCCTGTGTCTATCCTTTGATTTTAAGATGTGTTTTCTGTAAGCAGCAAGTGGATGGATTTTTTTTTCTTTTTGGGTCACACCCGGCAATGCACGGGGGTTACTCCTGGCTCTGCACTCAGGAATTACCCTTGGCGGTGCTCAGGGGACCATATGAGATGCTGGGAATCAAACCTGGGTTGGTCGTGTGCAAGGTA